CTGGTCAGGTTCTGCACAAACGCAGAGACTGCTTGGGATTGGTCCCTCTCTTAACCCCTCCCCTGCTCTTTCTCAAATAAAACTCAAAGATTTTAAGTAGTCTCCACACCCAACGTGGGGCTTGAACTCCTAACCGTGAGGTCAAGTCGAGAGTCCAGCCAGGTGCCTCCCAAAAGCTTTTTTATAAGGATGACCTCCCCATTTTACAGATGTGGGAACTATGACTTGGAGAGGCTGAGGAACTTCCCTGGCTACCAGGTGGATTCAAACCCAGGCAGCCTGACTCCAAAGACTATGTTTTTAAAAGGTGTGGCTCCATAATCCCGTACAGGCAGGGCTAGAGGGGGACCTGGGACACAGACTGGGAGTTCGTGAACGCGTGTGTGGGCGCTGACGCGGCGGTGTGCTGCATCAGTACCGGTGTGGAGGCCTTGAACGTCATTCTCTACGTGGCTCGTGCCTGGTGGTTTTGGTGAGGAGCCAGAGGGGAGTGGGGAGCCTGTGGCCACTGCCAAAGGCCCTCACGTGAGCACAGCTGTCGCCTGTGACCCCTGCTCTATGCCTCGCTTCAGTTTTGTGACCTGACAGTTTTTAAATCCAAGATAGGAAGGAAAAATCGACTACAAATGCTTTCTTCTGTCCGCCCCTAACAGTTCTCTTCTGCTTCGTACCGTGGGGCAGCTGCCCCAGCCTGGGGTGTGTGCAGTGGGGGCAGGAGGGGGACATGGAGAATTGAGAGGAGGTGAGAGGGACCACAGCCCTGGAAGTGACCCCAGCCACCTTGTCGCACCCAGTGCCAGTGGGATGCTCTGCCGTTGGAGACAGTGGCCCACTCTGCCATTTGGCAGAGGGATGGCTTTCCCTGGGGTGCCCTGAAGGGTAGTGCAGCCTAAAGGTCTAAGGCCAGGACGCTGGGCCATGCCCCTTCCCAGGCCCCTGTAGCTAAAGACTCCCCAAACCCCAAAGGCAGGAATGGGATGGGCAGCAAAGGCCCCCACAGACTAGAGTCAGTAGTCTCAGACCAGGGACCACACTGGGACTTGGCCCTCCTTTGCTCGGCTGTGCTCCGGCCACAAGGGCCTTCCCCCACCTTTCTGCTAAGCTCATTCCTCCCTCAGGACCTTTGCACTCGCTGTTCCTTCCGCAAGACTTTTCCAGAGCTCCTTCCCGCTCTCATGCAGGTCTCCTAAGTCACCCCAGAGGCTTTCCAAGAGGAGTCTGCAAATGTCCCAGCCCCTCTTGCCTTAACTGTTATTTTCCATGACCCTACCTTTTTGCATACATTTACTTCCTATTCCCCAACTACAATGTCAGAGATGGCAGAGACGTTGCTGTCTTGTTCGTTCCCAAATTTCCAGGACCTAAAACAGTGCCTGGCAAGTAATAATGATTACTGCTAATAGTTACCGAGAGTTCTGGCGCTCGACTCTGAGAGCTTTCTGGTTATTAGCTCATAATCCTCCATTGGGAGCTGTGAGGACGATCTTATGATTATACGTTTTTTTTTAATGAGGTAAGGCTGCAGGTGGACGCGGGCCCAGGGACAGCTGGCATAGACAATGACAGGACGAGGCCGCAGGTCCCGGGGCCTTCATGTTTCCCTAAGACGATTCAGGAGCACCCACCATGGGCTAGACGCTGTTTTGGGTGCTGAGGATTTGGTGGTGAGGAAAACAGACGCAAATCCCTGTCTCGTTCTGGTGAGCGAGACCAGACCGCCACCACGAATAAAACATCTAGGACTGTCTGTCTGGCTCAGTCGGTGGAGCGGGCGACTCTTGATCTCGGGGTTATAAGTTCGAACCCCACATTCGAGTGTAGAGATTACTGAAAACTCAAATCTTAAAAAAAAAAAAAAAAAAAAAGACCTGTAACGGGGGATGGCCGTGGGCAAGCCGAGCGCTGGGTGGGGCACCTGTCCACTGAAGATGGGTGTTTAGGGAGCCAATGCTGGCAGGAAACAGGTGAGTGAGCGAGCTTGGGGGGCGGGGGGAGTGACTGTGGCGGGGCAGACACACATAGTACAGGGCCAAGCAGCCGTGGCACGCCTCTTTGACAGGCAGGTGGGGACGGTGGGGAGGAAGCGGACTCAGAGGCCGGAGACCAGCAGAAAGTCCAGCTGGAGACAGAGAGCCCCCCCATCCCCCGCAAAGGCCCCGAGGGCCAGCCCACCCCCGCCGGGCACCTCACGGTGAGGGGAAGGCGGCTCAGTCCAGTGGGGGGACGGCAGGTGGATGCTCACACCAGGTGGAAAGTGACAGCTCCAGGACTCGACTGCGTGAGCCTGGGAGACCTCAGGGGAAGGAGCAGGGACTCTTGGGTGGGAGGTCCCAGCAGGCTGCCCGGAGGGATGGGTGCCTGGCCTTCAAAGGACTGGACAATTGTGGATGCAGAAGATGGGGAGGCACCCCAAGAAAGCTGGCTCAGCAAATCCATGAACGGGCACTCTGACATGTCACGGTCCCACCTCCCTCTCCAAGAAGACTCCCCTTCACCCCCCCCCCCCCCCCCCCCCCCGCTCTGTCAGAAGTCACATGATGGGGACCCACCCAGCTCCCGCGGGAACCCAACCCTGTGTCCACACAGCTCCGGGCAGGCCTGTGGCTGGACCCTAGCGAGGCCCCACTGGCCGTCCCGCCCTGCTGGTGCCCAGCCCCTGGGCCAACCCTTCCAGTCGTAAAGGAACAGGAGGTATAGGTGGCTCAACAGCCTACCCCACCGTGGAAACCACAGGGAGCCTTGGCTGGGGCCCTCCCATCGGTCACCATGTGGGTTCCTGCAACTTGGCTCAGCTTGGTCCCACTGTCAGCCGCCCCAGAGCACGTGGGACACTAATGCTTCCAGGCGCTTTGTATCCGCTCACGATGTCTCAGCTGGGGGAGGCCGCCTCCTCCGGGTCTTTCTATCCCTTTCCATCCGGGTGGGAATGCAGCAACCCCGTGTCTTCTTATTGGAGCCCTGGCCCTCCAGGGGAGCAGAGGGAGAGAGAATCTTAGGCGGCAAGATTAATCCGTGCTCAGCACGGAGCCCCATCCCATGACCCTGAGACCATGACCTGAGCTGAGGATCGAGAGTCAGCTTAAGCCACTGAGCCACCCCTGCGCCCCTGGACTGGAGGGCTTGTGACTCGGGGCTCTGAGAACCCTGGGAGATGGGGAAAGGCCCCTTGGTGACAGCTGATGTCCCTCAGCAGGGCCTGGAGCTCACGGCCAGCACCGCGCATCCGTGACTGCCGCACACCCCCCACCTCCCCCTTGCAACGGTGGCACGGCCTCCCTCCTCCAGTGCCTCTACCAGCCTCTCCTGGGCGCTCTGCCATCTCCGACCACTTGCACCAGAACTGTCCAGGGTGACTGTTAAATAGATCCCAGAGTCCTCCCTTGACCTGCTGGCCTCCAATCTCAGAGATGAGCACTAGCTTTGGTCACTCGGGGAGCACCGACGCCCACTTCTCGAGTGCCACGTGGCACAGATGAAACGGAACTACTGGAGAGCCCACGAGCAGAGAAGTGGCTGGACACCCCCTCCCACCCCCCCGCCCTGCTCTCATACCTGCAAACTCCCTGCCACAGAGCCAGGCGTCACCCGACACCCGGACACTGGGAACGGGGCACCTGGGGGTGACTAGGGAACAGCAGGTGTGTCCTTGTCAGTGGCTGGCCAGCCCCTCTCCCCAGGGAGCGTGAGCGGTGCCTGCACAGCTGAGCCAGCTTCTTGCTGAGCTGCTGCAAAGACGAAGGGAAGGGGTCTCCAAGGATACCTAAGGTCCTCTCTCTCCCCATGGGCGTCATTAAAGCTCAGCAGGCAGGGGTGAGAATGTGAGGAATACCCGTCTTTCCCTCTTTGCAACGAGCTCATTTGAGGAAAAGTGGGCTGATGACGGTTCGGAGCAACAGCGCCCTCCTCTCTCGCCCCCCGACCTCCTGGATGGATGGTCCGCTTCCTGCCGCCAGGACGGAGGCCAGCTGCACGCAGCACCGGCTCTAGCTCTGCCTCAGGCAGGTCTGCGGCCCCTGCTGTCCCCACAGAGGAAGGAAAGCCACTTAACAACCAGGACCCTGGGGCGCGGGCGGGGTGGTGTGTGGGGTGTGGAACCCTCTCTCCGCTGGACAGAACCCACTTTGGGTTGGCAGACTGTGGGTCCCCAGCTGGCCCAGCCGCAGGGAGCCCTGTCCAGTCCTCTTCTGGACATGATCTCCGGGGCCCGGAGCCCGGTATGCAGGGAGAGCGGAGCGTCGGATGGAGCCGCCCCAGGGCAACCAGGGCCCTCTTCCCCACGAGGCCCCCAACCCCTCCAGAGAGAAGCTCCCGGACTTCCAGGACTTGTTCCCTCCACCCTGAAGACCCGTCCAGTCAGCACGGCCACTCACTTGCGCTCGCTCGACACGCACGTGTCCCCAGCACGCGCCTGCCCTCGCGTCCAGCCTGCCCTCGCTGGTGGTGCAGCCCCGGCCCCGCCTTCCTGCCTGGGCACAGACCTCAGTGTGAAGCCCTGTTTCTTGAGGTCCCCTTTCTGAGACGCCCCCACAAGAGCAGAAACCTCACGCGACAGTGCAGCCGCACTTCCGCTGCCTGAACCCTGAGTCAGCTGCCGCGGTGCTCCTTTTTCTCGAGGGTTCTTGTCAAGAGGGCTCGTCTCAGGCACATCAGCTGACGCTGAGTGCTCTTGGGCGGGCGGGCGGGGGGGGGGGGGGGGGGGGACACCTGCACTGAGCTGGAGGACTTTTTTTTACCTATTTTAGAGACAGAAAATGAGTAGGGAAGAGAGGCTCTTCCATGGCTCAGCATGGAGCCTGACGTGGGGCTCGATCCCATGACTCTGGGATCATGACCTGAGCCGAGATCAAGAGTCCGAAGTGCAAGTGACTGAGCCACCCCTGCACCCCTGGACTGGAGGGCTTGTGACCCGGAGCTCTAAGCACCATGGGAGATGGGGAAAGGCCCCTTGGTGACAGAGGAGATGGGAGACACCCCATGAGGCAGATGGGCGGCACACACTGCTCTCGGGTCCACGTTTATTAGAGCCCAGAGGCCTGCCCGGCAGCCCCTCTCCTACCCTCAGAGGTGTGGCCCTGAGGGCCTCGTGACTGGCCTTCCCCACAGCAAACAGCCCAGGGGCCCTGCTCGGCCAGAGCAAAGGAAACAGTCACCCGTGTCTCCTGGTGCGCAGCCGGCCCCTCCCTGCGGAAGTCAGCTGTGCTGAGTGCGTATCCTCCCTGGGGCTTCCGGCCTGCAGGCCCCTTTCTGGCCACCCTGCCCTGGCTTGAGCCCCGAGGCATCTTTGCACCAGGCCGGCAGCTTGGCAGGGTCCCAGAGCCAGTAGAGGCTGTGAGGTGCGAGGAGACCGGGGCTGGGTGCCTTTCCCACCGCGTCCTCCGGGGAGCCTAGCTGCCGAAGTATTCCTGCTGAAACTTCTGGAAGTCTTCCTCGGTGAACACGGTGCCCTCAGCCTTCTTCTTCTTCTTCGTCTTGGCCACAGGTCGGTCACAGGCCTTGCGGCCCCGGTTCTGGCGCACAATCTAGGGACATGGGGGAGTCAGGGGTCCTGGGTGGTGACTCCCGGCGCATGAGGGACTGGCCCTTGGAGCTGTACAACCCGGCGTGGCTGACAAAGTGCCACCCTCTCCCCCGGCCCTCACACCGTCCTGGGAGGCAGGGCACGCCACTTCCACTTATAGAGAAGCAACCCGGGGTCCCTGAGGGTCACAGGGGAGTCAGGCCAGGCCCGGCCTCCCAGCAGCCCTGCTCTGCTCCCTGTCTTCCAGAGCGGGGGCCCAACCTCTGCTCCGCGCTCAGGGCAGAGACCCCCATGGCTCTCCCCGCCCAGGTCCCGGCCCACAGTCCACCCCTCTGACAAACCTGTTGGGTGACTGACTCAGCCACTGGGCTTCTTGTACCGGTCATAAACTTGAGGTTTACTCTGAGGTAGTTTTGACACTCTCGCTTCAGGAACTCAGCTGTGGAGGGCAGGCAGACAGGCATCGTTTCCGAGGTACTCCCTTGGAAGCCTCTGGGTCCCCTCCTGACACCTCCTCCCTGCCCCTGTACCAGCCCTGCCGAAGGCCCTGTGTCCCCTGCCTAGGGCACTCCAACATCCCTGGCTCCCCATACGGGTCCTATTGAAAGCCTCCCCCACCCCCTGGCTTGCAGATACTCAAGTGACTTATTCAACAAATAAGGCCCGAGCATTTACCGTATATCAGACACTGTTCTAGGTGCGGGGCATACAGCAGAAAATGGAACGAAACTCCTGCCTGCCCGCACGGAGCTTACTTTCCAGAGCAAAGAGACATGGCAAGCAAGGTCAACAGTATTTGAGAGAGCGATACGTGTTATGAAGAAAAACAGCACAGTAAAGACCAATGGGAAATGCCAGGGGTGGAGGGTTGCAATTCTAAATTGGAGGCCCTGGGTAGGCCTCACTGAAATGATGTTTTAGCAAACACTGGCGAGTCTATGGAAGAGCATTCTAGGCAGAGGGAACAGGCCTCGCAAAGAACCTGACGGAGGGTGATTAATGTGTTCTTTGGAGAACAGAAAATGACTGGCGCGGGGAGGGGCGAGCAGGAGATGAAGCTGGAGGGGGGCAGACCGTGGGGGACCTCTGATGCAAGCCACTAGAAGGTGTCCGACTTCTATCACAGGATCACTGTGGCCCCTGTGGTGAGAACAAGATTACTGGGGGCAGGGAGGGGGGAGGGGGTGGACGTTAAGAGGCTTGTGAAACAGCCCAGGGAAGAGATGATGCCACGCTCACACCAAGGTGGCAGTCACAGAGGTTCTTTTTTTTTTTTTTCTAAAATGTTTTATTTATTTCTAGGAGAGAGAGAGAGACAGCGTGAGCAGGGGAGGGTCAGAGAGAGAGAGGGCGATACAGACTCTGAAATAGGCTCCAGGCTCTGAGCTGGCAGCACAGAGCCCGACGCGGGGCTCGAACCCACGAACCGCGAGATCATGACCTAAGCAGAAGTCGGACGCTTAACCGACTAAGCCACCCAGGCGCCCCATAGAGGTTCTTTAGATTGGCCACTGAGGCTTGAGAGTCGCCTCGTGTCATCAGTTATGTACCGTGACAGGTTGGTGGGACAAGAGGTGGGATAAATAAAGGAGAGGACCTGGCATCCTACGCTCCTGTTTCCTGCTGGGAATTCATAGTTCTTTCAACAAATACTTGAATGTCTTTTATATACCAGCCACCAGGGGTTCAAAGACAAGCTAGGCACTCACCACGCCCTGCTGCATGTCACAAGACGCCACCATCTAGACCACACCCGTCCCTCCCCAAGTCTGTCTGTCCCCTTAAGGAGAATGCTATCCCCCAGGATCCTCTACTGGAAACGAGAGGCTCTGTTCTCAGGGTCTCCCTCTTCCTCCATCCTTGCACCCAACTCACCGCTGAAGCCCATCAACGCTCCCTCTCCACCACATCGGACCCCTGCACACTGTCTGCACCATCCCAGCGGCCCAGGCCACACTGCCTCCCTCTGAACCGAGTAGGGGAGAGCAAACCTCTGGAGGGAGACACACTGCCCGGTTACTACCTGTAACATCTGCACAGGCGCCTGTTTCTGCCTCTGAAAAATGGGGGTAGTGACAGTACGGACCTCACAGGGTTGTGTAAGGAGTCAAGCGAGTGAACGTTTATTTATACAGGGTTTGAAACAGCACCAGGCCCACAGAATTAAGTTAACTGTTAGATAAGCGCTCCACCTCTGGCCCTTGTTCACTATGGCACCTTTACCGGGCTTCTTTCTTGCAAATTCTCAAAGCAACAAACTTCCTCCAAACTCTGCACGAGCGGTTTTCTCTAGAGCAGTCTTCCCCCGGCTCACTCTTAACACTTCCCGGGAAGAGGTGTTTGGTTCCCCTCCGTATTCCCGGGAAACCGCTCCGCGCCAGGCGCACACTAGGTGTTCTAGAAACGCCTGGTGAACCTTTCAAGCTCAGCCTCAAGCGCCCCCTCCTCTAGGGTGCCGCCCCCTTCCCGAGCTCACCAATCGCCGACTTGGGCACCTTGCCCTTGGCCGAGTTCCGCAGTTTCTGGGCTCGGGAAGCCTTCGCTTTCCGGGTCCGCTTCTCCCGAGCCCCGCTCGGCTTGGCCTGGCCTGGCGCGGCCTGGGGGGCTGCAGGGGAAGAGGGAGAGGCACGGACCTGGGTCGGAGGGCGCGCAGGGTTTCCATCCCACCCGGGCCACGCCCGGCTGGGATCGTTCCGTACCCTCGGGGATCCAGCCCGCCGCCCCCGCCGCCCCTCCGCGCGCGCTGCACGTCCCTGGCCAGACCCTCCTCACCGTCTGGCGCCCCCAGCAGCTCCAAGCCCCGCCGCAGCAGGGCCGCCGACATGGCTGCACTGAGCTCCGCCCACACGCTCACACTACTTCCGCCTTGGCCACCGTGGTCTTCTCCGCGGAAACCCGAGCGAGACTAGAGGTTCCGGAGTGGGTGGGCGGAAGTGCCCACTGGCCTTACGACGCATGCGTTTGGGGTTGCCGCTCTACTACTGAGAGGAAATAGGGGCGGGAACTGGAGGCGGGGCCGACCTGCAGAAGGACGCCTTTGTTGTCCAATCCCAACCCAACCGGCCCTTGGCCACGCCTCCCCCCAGAAACCGCCCCTAACCAGCCCAGGTTGGTTGGTCCAGCCCTTCGCGTCCTGCTGCTCAGTGGTGCGGGAAGGTGGGCGCGGAGCGGAGTGTTCAGGTTATGTTTTTTTGAAAATGGGAAGTGTGCAACTGGATTATATTTCAGATATTTCAGCCAAAGCAGCCTATCGCCCAGGTCGAGTATGGCATGAAAATCTAGCTGTCTTCCATTAAGTCAGTCATTAAAGACATTTGCAAAAATGCCAAGCTGTATCACCGTTTTCCCGCTGTTTTGTTTTGCTTTGGAAAATACAACTATTTTTCTTAGGAAATATTTACTTACTATAAAGCAGCGACAAAAAGCATCTGTGACAACGTCACTGGCCCCCACGTCCTTTTTTTTATAACATGCAATGAGTTTGCTATTGCTTTTAAAAAACGAATTGATAAAATACTACATTTTAAAACTTAAAATTTTCTCAGTTTTAGTTTCTAATCTGGTAAATATTCATAGGTATTTACACGTGGAAAAGCTGTTTGGGATCCTGAATTTTTTTTTTTCCTTTTTTTTTTTGGAGCAGCAGGCGAAAGTTTATTAAAGTATAAGACCAGAAAAGAATAGTAGCAAAGCTCTCTTTACAGAGAGGGGACATTTGAAAGAGAATACTCCTGGGATCCTGAATTTTTTAAAGAGTGTTAAAGACTTTCTGACACCAGGGCACGTGTGTGGCTCAGTCTCAGTCTGTTAAGCCTCCGACTAGTGATACATAGTATGCTAGTGATACATAGTATGCATGGGATGGAACCTAGTTGGTGGGCTGTAGCCATGTGGGGCTCTGCTGACAGTGTGGAGCCTGCTTGGGATTCTCTCTCTTCTATCTGTGCCCTTCCTCTGGCTCATACACACACACTCACTCTCTCTCTCTCTCTTTCTCAAAAAAAAAAAAGGCTTTCTGAGACCAAAAAGTATGAGAACTTCTGGCCTAGACATTACCCTTCTTACAGCGCCTGTTCACAGCTCCATCTGGGGCCGCTGCGACCCGTAGCTCCCTGGGCCGTTCTGGATCAGCATCAGCAGGTGAGCTGAGCAGCAGTGAGCCCAGCACCCCAGCTCAGATTCCCCTGGCAGCACCCATCATCCCCACGCCGGCTCTCACCTCTCCTGGAGCAGCACCCCCACTGCCTTCCCCCTCCAAGGAGGAGGAGGGGCTGAGGGTCTAGGCGTGGGACCTGGAGGAGAAACTGGAGACCCTGTGACTGAAACGTGCAGAAGACCAGGCAAAGCTAAAGGAGCTGGAGAAACAGAAGATCCAGCTGGACCAGGTGCAGGGATGGAAGAGCAAAATGCAGGGGCAGCAAGCAGACCTGCAGCGACGCCTCAGGGAGACGCGGCAGGAAGCCAAGGAGGCACTGGAGGCGAAGGGACATTCCGTGGAGGAGATGGTGGGCACTGCTGATGCCATCGAGATGCCCACTGGACAAGGAGATGGGTGAAGAGCGAGCTGAGTGTCCGCAGCAGGAGGTGGAGGTATTGAAAGAATGTGGATGAGCTCACCACTGACTTAGCCTCAAGGCTGAGATTGAAGAGAACGGCTCAGACCGGGCAGCGGGCAGCGTCCAAATATCAGCTCAAGCAGCTGGAGGGGCAGAACGCCCGCCTAAAGGATGCCCTGGTGAGGATGTGGGATCTTTCTTCCTCCGCGAAGCAGGAGCATGTGAGAAACTCCAGAAGCTCGTGGAAAAGAAGAACCAAGAGCTGGAAGTTGTGAGGCAACAGCAGGAGCGTCTTCAGGAGGAGCTGAGCCAGGCAGAGAGCACCGTCGATGAGCTCAAGGAGCAGGTGGATGTGCTCTCGGTGCTGAGGACATGGTGGAGATGGCAACAGACCTGACCTCGAGTCTAGAAGAGAAAGAGTGAGAGTTGAGAGAGACCGCGGAGGGACTTGGAAGCGATGAATGGGATGAATGATGAGCTGCAGGAGGATGCACGCCAGACAGATTGGGGAGCTGCTGGACAAGGTGGGCTCATGGGTTCGGGAGGCCCAGGAGCACGTAGAGGCAGCCCAGGGCACTGTTGCCGATTTCCGGCAAGTCACCAGAAGTACCACCAGCTGATGCCCACCTTCAGGATGTGAATCGGGAACTGACAACCCAGCAAGAAGCATCTGTGGGGAGGTAGCAGCAGCCACCCCTGGAGACTTCCTAGTCCTGTACCTGGCATGCAGAAGACACTCAATAAGTGAGCGAATACGGTTTGAGGGCCTTTTGTATGCCCTATGCTGTTGGGTGGGGGATGAGATGACTCCACTGGACCTTCCTGGATGAACCTCTGTGTCTAACCTCTATCAGCTAGTCCTGGAAGGAGAGAACACCTAAACAGATGTTAATATTAGCAGCTACTGGGTGCCTGGGTGGCTCAGTCGGTTAAGCGTCTGGCTTCGGCTCAGGTCATGGTCTCACGGTTCATGGGTTCGAGTCCCACATCAGGTTCTGTGCTGGCAGCTCAGAGCCTGGAGCCTGTTTCAGATTCTTTGTTTCCTTCTCTCTCTGCCCCTCCCCTGCTCGCTCTCTGTCTCTGTCTCTCAAAATAAACACATTGAAAAAATTTTTTAAAAAATACTAGCAACTACTATGTCAAGGTGCTGTTCTAAGTGCTTTACCTTGAACTCACTTGCTTCCCACTACCCACAACTCTGTGGTAGGAGCAACACTTCTCCCATTTTACAGATGAGGAGACAGTGGCACTGAGGGGCGTGGGACCTGTCCAGGTCGCACGTGTTCAGGTCTGAGCTGGGAATCAAGATTCAGAGCCTGGCTTGAGTATGTGCCGCACCCCTGCACCAGCCATGCAGGGGAGTCGTGCCATGGTGCAGGGTGGGGCCTGGCGACCGCACAGGATCAAGAGGTCTGTGGAGAAGAGGAGCTGTTCATGTGGCAGGGGAGAGTCCCAGGCAGCAGGGCCCCTTAGGGGTACCTTCTCTGGGACAGGAGTGCCCCCAGAGGAGTGACCAGGGAAGGGTGTCTAGCTGGCATCAGACTCCATGAATTTGCCTTAAGGACCATGGAGGGTCATGAAGCCCAGTTACAGGGTCAGACATGCTCTTTCTTTTCTGCTTCTAAAATAGGTGGGTTGTTTTCTTATGTTTATTGTTGTCTGTTTCCCCCTCTACGCCCCACAGTAAGCTCCACAAAGGCAGGAATCTTTGTTTTGTTCATGCTTATAGCTCTAGCTCCTGGAACATACAGTAAACACTCCACAAATGAACGAATCAGATGGATGAAGGTTGAGTTTGGGATGCCTGTGGGAGGCTAGGTAGAGATGAGCAGGTGATTGCGGGATGTGTGAGTCTGTCTCTCAGGAGAGCGAGGAACCAAGCTCTATCGTATTCCCTTTCCCCTCCGGATCTGGGGTAGTCAGCACACGGACCCCAGGGTCGGGGAGGTCTGTGTATTCCAGTGTCGCAGCGAACAGGGGCGCTAGGGGCAGGGGGGGGGGGGTTCTCTCAGCTCAGCGGACTCTGGAGGGTCCGGACGACCTTTTGGCCACTAGGTGGCGCCGCAGGACAGCTTTCTTGCACGGCCCGTCTCCGCGATCCCGGCTGCTGCCGTCCAGGTTCGGGATTCAGGGTGGGAGTGTGGGCTCGGGGCACCCTTCGGCCTCAGCTGGCTCCTTGCAGCCAGCACCACGTGGCCTCGGGCTTCCCGCTGCCCCTGACTCGCAGCCTTCCAGGACCGGGCTAGACACCCCTCCTGGGCCTGCTGAGGCCACTATCAGGCTAGGCTGGGACACTGTTCTCCCCCCCGCCCCCCCCCCCGTACCCCCCACCTGGTCCGGGGTTGGGGGATGGGGAAGGGCTGGGGAGGATGAGACCTCCGTCTGAAAAGGGGTGTAAATGGTGCAGGTGAGCACTCACTCTTAGGAAGGCTGCAGTGACCCTAGGCAGTCTTAACGGAGAGTGCCTCAGTTTTCCTCATCTGTTAAATGGGGTTTAGCTCCCTAATACGGTGGGAGTGAGGAGGAAGTGGTAGGTTAATGCTGGTAAAACACCCGGAACTGGGACTGGAGGTCAGCACCCAGCCGCTGTTTGCAGGGGATATGACAGACGTTGGCTCCCATGGTGGGCGGGAAGAAAGGTGCCCAGGAGGTTGTGGCCTTCCCGTCCCCGGTCACCCACTTTTCACCACCCTATCTCCTTCCATGCCTTGCTGGAACCAGCTGAACCTCACCAGGGCTCAGGGGGACCAAAGGCTCAGAGGGAGGTGAGGTGTTCTGCAAGGTCACACAGCATTTCAACAGCGGAAGCAGGACTAGAATCTGGGTCTCTGAATCCTGGGCAAGAGCGTGTGTGCGTGTATGAGTGTGAGTGTGTGCGAGTGTGAGTGTGTGTGCTGGGGCACCTGGCATCTCGTGCTCTGCTTTTGCTTCTTTCTCTCCATCTTTCTTCTGCTTCTATGTGTCTCTGTCTCCTTGCCCTTGTCTCTGGCTCTTGTCTTTCCCTCTGTGCCCTCCCCCTCTCCTCTCTCTTTCCATCTCTTCCTCGGTCACCCCCCAGCCCCCAAGCTCCTGGCCTCTCTCCACCTTCAAATTGAAAACCCAAATGGAATTTCCAATTGCCTTTTCCGAGTGGTGATCGCCAGTCTCCGCGGGTCCAGCCCTCCCTTCTCTGCGCTGCCTGCCCGGAGTTATTGCTGAGTCTCTCCCTCTCGCCTCCGCCTCTGCCTGCGACTCCTGCCCTCAGTGGCTTTGAAGTGTGTTTACCTGAGAGGTGCAGAGAGAATCCATTTCGGCCCCGTCTGGTTTTCAATTGATGTGTGAGGGGGG